AAAGAGAGTTACCTCCCACAGTTAAATGACCCCATGGCACTTGGATTTTCATGTAATATTAAAATTCTTAAATCCAGCATCTTATGAAAATAAGACTTGTGAAACAGAGTGTGAATTATATTTTGAATTAGGATAGTTTCTCATTTCTTATCTTCAGAGAAAGAAAAGGTTGGGATAAAATAACCAAATGGCTAGCCACCGTTTCAGAGTGTCTGACACTTTCCGTGTAGATATGGACTCTAGGAATGTGCATTATGACCTGGGGTTCTTGGGGGTTCTGACCATTCATGTCCAGGACCTGGTGGCATTTGAAGGTATTGAGGACAATTCATTGTTGGTGAGGCAGCAGCTGGGTGTGCTACTTCTAGGATAGCCCTCTGGGGGTATGTGATGGGTTAACAAGGAATTATTGATGATTCATAAGAAAACCACAGTGCTACAGAGATTTATTCTGTCACATTTACTGGGTAATTGCTTTTGGGGTGAGATCTTCTGGAGATGTGAAATTACCCGCCCTCTTCCTCCACCCAAGTCTGGACCTGTTCATGACAAATTCCAAACCACAAATGAAATAAATGGGTCCTTCATATAACACTGAGCTCAGGGGCACCCAAGCAGGAGGAAAACTTGAGCCTTGGAGGTTTCTATGAAAACAAAGATAAAATTTTGTACAAGTTTTTTTCTCCGTTAAACAAATGTTGGTTTAGATCTTTTGTGCAAATGATTTTTTTGTTCAGCACGTGATTTGAAATTAGTGGGTGTTGTTTTTATATGTTTTTTTCTGGCGGGGGGGTATGGTTCTGGGGATTGAACCCAAGAGTGCTTTACCATGAACTATATCCCCAGTCTTTTTATTTTTAGACAGAATCTCCTTGTTTTGCTGAGGGCCTTGCTAAGTTGCTGAGGCTGGCCTCCAACTTGATATCCTCTTCTCGCTGTCTCCTGAGTTGCTGGGATTACAGGCATGTGCCACCACACCCAGGAGAAACTAGTGTTTCGTGGCACTAGTGCTTCTTGTTGCCAAGGTAACTAGTGCTTCTTGTTGCCGCGGTAACTGATTGCCATGAATTTAATGTAGGTATCTGAGACAACACAAACTCATTACACTGCAGTTTGGGGGATGAAACCCCCCAAACTGAGATGTGGAGGGCCCTCTCCTGGACACTGTAGGATCCGAGTTTTGTTTGGCCTTGTTGCCTTCTCAAGCTCCAGAGGTACCCCCATTCCTTAGGGTGCAGCGTCCGTCTTCAGAGCTGGCTGCGGCCAGTGGGTCCTCCTTGCGGCCACGACTTACTCTGATGGCCCTGCCTCCCTTTTCCATCTTTAGTCATCCCCGTGTTCCGTTGGGCCCACCCAGATAATCCAAGACGATCTCCCCTTTGAAAGCAGGTTTGGTTCCCTCTGCTTCCTGACATTTCAGTGGCCTCGTGGGACACGTCCCCAGACCCCATGGATTGGTGGTGGCCATCTTGGGCAGTCATTACCACACCTCGTAAAAGCCAACTCAGCTGAGTGATAAATAAATACTTTGGCCAAAGAACTGTCTTTACAGAGAGAAATCTTGGTGATTTATATTGTCATCAGATGAAATACAGGAGGCCTAGTCCCATGTCAGTTTCAGATACACCAAACAACTTGTTTCAGTACCAACTATTGTATGAGGTACATCACACAACGTTAGCGGCTGTTTATCTGAAATTCACATTGAACTGGGTGTCCTGTGTTTTTATTTATTAAATCTGTCAATCCAAATAATTTAGTATTAATAAAACAAAGACAAAGAATATTTATATTCTAAGTTGTTCATCTGGGAGAGGAAGCCTAAGAAGAATCTGTTTAAAGTTCCATCACAGGTCTCTTTTTAAAGTTCCTGTGATGTCATCACCCCCACCCCAGTTGCCCTGTAATTACATAATCAGTCTTTCGATTTCTTTAGTGGCTTGTCATTATCTTCCTCTCATCCAGGGCTTCACCTGAAATTACCCTCTTTAAAGCAACGCTGCCCCCTTATTCAGGGACGGGAGTCAGAGTGAGATGTCTGTAGTCCCAGGAGAGCTGGGGGGGTCTGCAGAATGGCTGGAAATCTCCATGTCTGCCGATTTTCCTTTCTGATTTTAAAAATGATAAATGATGATTCAAGAACTTAAAGGATAACAGCTGAACTGAATATCATAACAGTCAGGCTTAACAGCACCTGGGCTACAGCCAAAGAGAGGATCTAAGACTTGGAATACATCAAATTGGATGGAAAAATCTCCACACCAAATTTACAGAGAGAGAGAATATTAGAATATACAGAAAATAGCATAAAATACCTGTGAGGGTGTCATGAAAGGAGGAAGGTTGGAGACAGGGTGAACAGCTGTAGGTCCTGAGGAGTAGGCTGGCTGGAGATACTCTAAAACCCACCAAAGTAGCAATCAGTATCATCAAAAAAAAAAAACCTGTGAACACCACAACCAGGATACACACTGCTGTGGGTTAGACGTGAGGTGTCCCCCAAAAGTTCATGTGTGAGACTATGCAATAAAATTGAGAGTGAAATGATTGGGTTGTTAGCGCCTTAACCCAATCAGTGCATTAATCCCCTGATAGGGATTAACTGGGTGGTGATTGTAGGCAGGTGGGGTGTGGCTGGAAGAGGTGGGTCCCTGGGGCTGTGCCTCTGTCCTTGTTGAGCTAAGTAGTCTCTGCTTCCTGGTGCCAAGTTCTGAGCCACTTTCCTCCACCACACCCTTCCACCATGATGTTCTGCTTTGTATCGGGCCCAGAGGAATGAAATGGGCTGTCTATGGAAACAGTAAGCCACCAAATAAACCTTTACTCCTTAAAACTGTTCTTGATCACAGTGACAGATAAGTTGACCAAAGGACATCCAAGGGCTGTGGTACCTCGCCTTATCAGTCTGCACATTTGGTTTTTAAACAACTGGAGCAAAGATCAAGTGCTGATTTGGCATGAGTAGCCAGATGAACTTCATAGAAATAATGAATTATCTTCTTTTTTTCCTTCCTCATGACACAGTGAGGTGGGTGTGATTTTCTTCTTTCAGTCCATGGCATAATGGCTTTAGAGTTAGGGGAAGGCATACATGATGGCTTTTTAAGAAAGCAGCCTGCGGTTGCTCCAAACCCTAGGATTCTCCTGTTTCCATATCTAAATCCCCTCCCCCCCCAGCTCCCACTCTTCATACATGAAGGCAGATATCCAAGTGCTCCTCGGGATTTCCCCTCCGTACTTGGGTCCACTCTATTTCATCCACACTCCTTCCTGCTCTCCTCTCCTGCAGAGCCTTCCGTGGTTGGGTCCCCTGACTCCCTGGCCGCTGCTCTCCTTCCTCATGCCTTTACCCCAAGCATGACTGAGGATCTCTGGTTGTTTCCAAGATTTCCCAACCACAAACTGTTGAGTGAGAGAAGATTTTGCAAGTATTGTATAGGTAGTTATTGCACAGAAATGTTAAGATTGGAGAAGGGGCTTCAGCCTAGCTGGAGCTCCCCAGCCAGCCGGCCTCCCTTGTCCACCTCCCTCACGTCGCCTCACGCTCGTTCCTTTGGAACCCAAACCACTACTTTCATTTTTAATCTTCATGGCCCAAGCCTCCCTCGGCCCTGATTCTAAGTGGAAATACAAAGAGCCCTTTCAATTTTGGAAATGTAGAGCTATTTAGCTTTTTAATTTTATCTTGTCTTATACTGCACTCAGGCGTCCCTCCTTACAAGAAAAAATAGCCAGTAAAGTGTTTTCTCAAAAGAGTAGTTTCCATTCCCCTAGAACACAAAAGTGATTGCTTTATGTACTATATTAAACTTCACCTCATCTCTGTGGTCAAAAATACGTACTTTTGAAAACCAGGCAAACAACACATTTATTATAAATAAAAATGTCATAAGTTATCAAAAGTAAATGATTAAAGATGGGACATGGCTGGCCTGAGATCAAAGTGAGGTGAGTGGGTTTGCAGAGTGAAACTGAAGGTAGATCCTGTCCTGGTTTGATATTTGGATATTGTGTTAATCATGGATTTGGAGCACTGATTTTAGTTTTTTAAAAAACATTTCATCATATTTTGTCTTGAGTGTGGATTTTTTTTTTTTGGTACTTAAGTTTCTACCCACAGCAGTGTCTCTCTCATCTCACCTGTTATCAGATGTACCTATCCTGATAAAAATGATTTTACTGTAACAAGGTGTCGTTTCTTTTTTCAATCCTGAGACTGTAGGTATTATTTTGGAATCGAGCTGCATTCACCCAGAATTAGGAGCACATTCAGGGGAGCGTTCAGGTGGAGAAACAGTGGGGCACCCACAGGATCCACCAGCGAGGACCTACCCTGGGCAAGGGTGTCAGGCTCGGCAGTGTCTGGCTGCTGCCCTGTCTTGGTCTCTCCTTTGGACCTTGGCTCCCTCTTCCTCTGTCCCCTGTTTTACTGATGTCATTTCCTGTGTCTCTGGTGAGAACCTGCTTTCCCATTCTTGACCTTATCACCCTCCATCTACACGGCAGGAAACACTGTCCAACTCAACTGCGCCCTTCTGTTCATAATCACTTATGCAGCAAGGCCTCCCCTCAATGACCAGTGCATAAAAGGACAGACAAAGTCCACACACAGAGACCTGTTGGCCTGAGAGAATTACAGTGTTACCTGTACGTGCACCAGGCCCAGCTGAGCAAAAGCAGGACCCAAGGGCAGGGTGCGGAGAGCAGAGGTGCAAGGGTGCTGCTCTGGCTTCCAGAGCCAGCGGGTTTGAGTGGGGACAGAGGGATTGGGCTGTTTTCATAGTAGGTCAGAGCATGCAAGGGGAGGGGGGCAGGAAGAGCAAAGCACGCAGTGTCACTGGGGAAGATGGGGGTATCATGGAGACAGATGCACTCAGGGGTCCCTGGAAAGACACAGAAGCCCCCTGCACTGTCCTGATTGTTAGTATGCAGAGCTTAACAGCGTGTCCCCAGGACATGACTACGGGTCGGTCGGGTCACCATATCACTAGAAGGCAAGGTTCTGAACACATGCTTTAATGTGGCTGGGGTTGGAAGAGGTCTGGTCCACTTCTGTTGCTGTGGTCTCTGGGCCTCCTCACTTTACCCGACAGCATTTGGGCCCTGATATGCCGCAGGTGCCGATCTTCTTCAGATGTCCACGGCAGGCAGCCTTACACAATCCTCCATTCCTGACGCAGCTGACAGGATTGCTGATATATTTAGGAAAAACTGAAAGAAAACAAAGGGCAAAGGAGTGTCAGCACCGAGGCCCTGTGTTGAAGGACAGGAGCCCACGCCCATCAGCAGAGTGAGTCCGGCAGGTTTCCTTCCCGCCCAGTTCTTCCTCAGGATCACACCACTTGACTCCAGGCTGTTTGAGTCTGTTCTGATCCTCCAGCTGAAATGTTGAGGCTCTGACCTGGGGAGCCTGCTGGGGGCCCCCAGATGGGGTCAGGCAGGCACGGCCGGAAGACCTGGGCCCAGTGGGCACACCACAGTTTGCAGCCTCAGCCTCAGAGAGACTCCATCTGCTTCTACCTAGGCCAGTAGTGTTAGGCTCAGGTAAGGCAGGAAGGTCCCCATTTTCAACCTTTGTTTTCCATGTCAGTTAATTTATTAAGTATCTGAACTGAAGGGAGAAAAAGATGCAGCTCAGAGAGTAGAACTTGTTCAATGAGAACTTGACGCCAAAGTAACTGACAGTTGACAACAAAACAGTAAAAATAAACCTGTGTCCTTGTTTCTAAGATCTAAAACCTGGTCTTGCTCTCATGCCTTCTTCCTTCCTTCCTGATCTATTCCAAGACAGAATACAGCTTTGACCCTGCTCTCTCAGAATCCCGCTGTTCCACTGTAACCCAGAACTCACAAACGGGATTCATAAAATGAGGGGTGTTTTCAACATCATTTCTATCGGATTTGTTGACTCAGATCTTGCCTCATTTTCTTCTCTCTGTCCCTCCTCTCCACCCGCCTCTCTTCCCCGTTCATTCTTTTTTATTCTATTTTCACAATATCAAGAAAAAAATAAATGTTGGGCACACAGTTGAGAGAGCTACTTCCAAGAGCTGCACCTGCACTGGGCCAGGGCAGCCCTGTATGTCGAAGGGCATGTCGTCCGGGGGCCTCCTGTCTGAAAAGACCAGGGCCGGGAGGTTCCTAAACCACAAGCCCACAGAATTAATTTCTGGGATTATCTAGGTACCGAAAAACTCTACTCTTTCATGTAAAGATTTATAAAACGGTGTCCTCTGCTTCCTTCTTTGGCTAAAAGCAAGATATCCGAATTTGATTAAAAAAACAACTAGTGGCCTTAGGGAGGCTTCCCTGGTCTCAGCAGTGCTAGCTCGAGGACCAAGGAAGGGTCTGGATTTACCAGCCGCAGAGCTGCTTGGAAATGGCTGTGAGTGGAACCCTGTGGTTCTTCAACTCCTTTCCAGTTGTAGGAAATGGTCTTGATTCTGTTAAGTAATTCATACAAGCTACTTGGCCAAAAAACTGTGCTTAGAACAGAGAAAGATGAGAGGAAAGGAGAGGAAGGGAGGAGAGGAGATAGAGAATCAAGAGGGAAGAAGAAGGAGAGAGTAAGAGAAGGAGAAAGAGAAGGAGCAGGGGCAGAAACAGGCAGAAGGAGGGAGAGAGGAAGAAAGACCGAAGGGACGGGGTGGAGGACGGGGAAGGAGAGAGACTTCCTGCCTTCTCTGTGTCCCCTCCTCTTCCCCGTGGCCCATCTCACCTGGAGGAGGCAGCAGGAACACCAAGAGGAACGCGAGGAGGAGGAACCGGATCCTCATGGCGAGGCTGGTGGACCCACAGCAGACGCTGCTGAGAGCGCCCAGCGCTTGGCCTTATAAAGGTCCGGGCTCCCGGTTCCTGGAAATTATACAATTTGTTACTGGCTCTGGTCCTTGTAATTGCCGGGATTAAAATGACATCTTTCCTGGTGTGTCAGAGGAACAGCCCTTAGGGAATAAGGCACACCCAGTTGTCCTGATGCAAATCAGGATGTGGGAAACCCCAGGGAATTGTCCTCCACCCTTGGGACCAAGAGCTGCCGCTGCCTACTCCTTTAGGTCCCTGGATGGAGGGGGTCAAGAGCTGGGCCTGCCTCACAGGGCACAGATGGGCTTGAGCCCTAGAGGTCACCTGCCTGCTCCATGGAGTGTGAAGTCTACCCACTTTCTGTTTCCTGATAGTCTGTGGACAGTCTGAGGCCACAGTGGGAACGGATTCCACCTCTTTGTATCCATCCCTGGGCATGGTCAGGTCCTATGATGAAATAGAACAGAGTGTGCTGAACCCAGAGTTCCCAGGGGTGGGCAGGAGGGTGTCAGGGCTTCAGGAAGAGACAAGGGAGCCCCATTGTCCCAGGTCATCACAGGACAGTGAGATCCACATGAGACATCTCCTGAAAGTCCCCATCTACCCGGGAAGACGGGCACTGACTCAGGTGGGTGTGTGTTTCACTCCTAAGAGGCAGACAGGGAGGACAGCATTGTGTCTGGGCTCTCCCTGGTCCAGGGTGACATGTCAATCCATGCAATGGTCAACGCAGGACGGTTGGCACATCCATCCAAACACTGATCATCTCTCTGCGTTGGGAACGTCTTCGAGCTGTTTTGAAGTGTGGAGTGTGAAGTCTACCCACTTTCTGTTGTTGTCTTCTCCAGCGACTCTCCTGGGAACAGGACACCAGGACTCACTTGTCCTATCTGTATTTTGTCCCTGCTATTCGACCTCTCTCTCTTCCCCTCCCCGTCCCTGTCCCAGCCTCTAGTCACCTCTGTCTTATTCCCTAATTCGAGGTGTTTTGAGAGGACGCTGGTGACAATGCTGTGTTGGCAAGAAGTGATGACTTCCGGATCATGTGAGACGGAGGCCTGGGTTGGGACGCTGGTGAAGCCGTGAAGGAGGTCCCATCAATGCTCAGGCTCTGGTCACCACAACAGCACGCCCCTCCTCTGGACTGTGTAGAGAAGCATGTCACTCACTCAACACTCAGAGTATTTCTTCCAGGCTAAGGAAGCGTACGGAATACACTGAATTAAAAAAAAAAATTAAAAAGCTTGAATATGCTTAGCCTGAATTGTTTATTTTTTTAAAAAAATGTTTGATGAGCTGAGAGCAGTGGCGCACACCTGTAATCCCAGTGGCTCAGGAGGGTGAGGATCACGAGTTCAAAGCCAGCTTCAGCAACAATGAGGCACTAAGCAACTCAGTGAGACCCTGTCTCTAAATAAAATACAAAATAGGGCTGGGGATGTGACGCAGTGGTCAAGTGACCCTGAGTTCAATCCCTGGTACCCTCCCAATATATCCATATATATATATTAGATGTATCTCTCTTAGTTTTTTGATGACAAGAGGCAAACATCATGTGTTGGTCAGTTTTCTGTCACTGTGAAAAAATATGTGAGAGACTCAAAAGGAAGAAAGGTTTATTTGACTCACAATTTCAGAGGCTTTGGTCTGTGGTTGATGGCTCCATCGTTTGGGGGACTGTCTTGAGGTGGAATGTCATGGCAGGAAGCCCTTGGCAGTACAAAGCTCACTTCATGGTATCTGAGAAGCAGAGGGGAGGGGCAGGTCCTAATATCTCCTTCAAGGTCATGGCTCCAATGACCTGACTTCTGCTAGACCCCAGCTCCTAAAAGTTCCACCACCTCATAACAGTACATCAGGCTGGGGACCAAGCACATGACGTCTGGGGGACACTTAATTAAGATCCAACTCATAACACATCGTGGTGCAGCACCTGATTCTCTCAGCATGCACTTCTTAAGAACAAGGGAAAATTCTCACCTGAATCCCTATACCATTTACACATGTGAGAGAATAATTCCTAATCTCATTTAGTATCTAATCATTATTTGCATTTCCCCTAGGGGTTTTGTATCTATTGATATTTTTTCCTAGTCTATTTTTAATCTAGAGTCACACATTGAGTTAGATGGTTCCCCCCGCCCCCACCCCCTCTGTATTTTTCTTTCTTTTTTGAGCGGCAGTCTTATAGAATGCCATAATACTTAGGAAGGGGCTTCACTGGGCTCTGAGTTTGAGGAAGTTAATGGCTGCCGTCTTTTTCCTGTTTGGCATTAATCCTATTCACCCTTTTCTAGTGAGTCATGTGCTTGCAATTATTACAAACATAACTCACTGTCATTTAAAAGTCCACCTGTACAAAAGTGTGATTTCCCACTTGTGTCCCAACCCCAGAGAACCACCAGTAGCATTTTGTCTGCTTACTTTCTGTTCTGCCTAGATCTCTGTGCAATTGTGAAGACCTACTCGAGAAGGAGGAAAAGTTGATCTGAAGTAGGGAAACCACTGAGAGACACATCACCCTGTGTCCCTGGGGAAGAGTACCCTTCAGGGTCCCCAGGACAGCTGCATCAGGGGGTGCTGTGTTCCCACCAGGGGTTCCTGTGACTGACAGCACCTGGTGCCAGATGCCTCCTTTGCGGCTGTGCTGCTCCCTTGGTGATGAAGCTCATTTGATAGAGACCCCAGCTCAGTAAGGCACTCTCAAAGGCAGGATCACTTCCTGGCCTTGACCTGTAAGACCACAGGCCAGCACAAACATGGCTCCCTCACCAAAAGCCAGAGATGGAGCGACTATGGGGCCTGGGGAAGTGTCGAGTTTAGGTGGAGTCTAACTGATTGCTTATCTAAGCTCAAGAAGAAGCCAGGCTGGGTGTGCAATGGTAACCATCCAGCCTGGGCTGAGAAGTACAGTTGTGTCTTGCTCCTTAAAGGAGAGATAAGTGCTGCACCCACAAAGCTCTTCCCTAAACCGAAGGGGGCGCTGAGGCTGTTCCTCCCAGGCAGAGGGGCTCAGGGCCCCAGGAGGGAGTGCAGCTCCATTCCAGTTGGCAGGCTTTCAAAAGCAAAGTCTCTCACCTCTATGACTGGTTGATCTAGATTTATGTTTCAAAATAGCTTCATCTCAACATTGTTACAGCTGTCAGATCCTCTTTACTCCAGCACAGTTGCATTAGCAGATTCTTCTCAAAATTAAAAATAATAATAACAACAATGTTGCTCAAAGTATAAATGCTGATGACCTAATAAATGGGTTTTCAGGAAAGCCGGCCAGGAAAATTATATTACTACTTTATTAATATAAAGTAGTATTTGTTGTACTAAAATTACGACACCAAAATATTCTTTTCAATTTTCAGTTTCTGTTATCGTTCCTCTATAATGGGAGTCCTATTTCATTCTGCAAATTACATTTTTGAAGGAAAACGCTTTACATCCTCCTCTAACATCACTTTCTTTTGTGCATTTTCATTTTGCTCGGAGCTTTGCCAGTTCTATAGCTCTTATGGCCACATTCAGACACAATATGCCATTCATCCCTCCTCCGTGCACCTGCCAGGTAGGCACGGCTCAGCTGCACAGATGACAGTCCTGGGACTTGGAAAGATGAAGGCCCGTGGGCACCTAGCTGCTAAGCCTCAGAGGTGGGATCAGAACTGAAAGCCGCCATTCTTCCAAGTCCTCCTATGGACGTGCCTGGTGCACATTAATGAAATCGCCCTGGCGTCCTGACCGCTTCGCCCCTTCCTTCTCCCACAGCCCCTCGGCTAGAGTGACAGCTGCCTGCTGGACGCCAGCCTCCCCTGGTATTGCTGTCATCCTCTCCAGCCTCCTGAGCTGACGGGAGGGCTGAGAGCATGACAGGCCTCCTGAAGGCCAGGAACAACGGTGCGAGGTACTGCCACCTTGTGGCGATTCTTTGTATGTCATGTCAGCCATTCCCATTTTCCTGTTTGCCCCAAGCTATGTGCAAGCTTCATAAGCACCCCAGGTATATGCACGCCACCAAGGATTTTGTAATTATTTTTTCCTCTTAATGAACCTAATGAGAGTTCTAAAATTTTTATTCATCATCTCAAAGAATAAGCTTCATTTTTATTAAAAATTCTCTTTTGCGCGCCCATTTTCTTCCCACCTGCCTCTATTTGCTTTGTGTTTTAACATCTCATTTCTTAGAGGAAACTTAGACTGTCAACTAGGGAGTTTCTCTCCTTTCTACCTAAAATCACTTAATGCCATGAAATTCCCTCTAAGAAGCACCTCAGCTGCTCTCCCACAGACCTTGGAGTGTCCTGCTTTCCTTTTCGGTCAGTGCAAAATGTTTCCTAATTTCTCTTGTGATTCCTTCTTGAATATTTAGAAGTAAGTTGATTAATTTCCAAATATTTGGGACCTTTTCCAGATATCTTTCTGTTATCAATAGCTTTGTAGGTTCCACTGTGTCCAGACACCATATTTTGTATAGTTTTAAACTGTTCTGCTTGTTGAGACTTGTTTCCTGGCTCAGGGTGGGCCGTACTGGGTGACTTTTAATGCATTCTACTGTTAGTGAGTGGAGTGTCCTATGAATTTCACAAAGGTCACACTGGGTGACACTGTCATTCAAGGCTTCTCTACTGTTATTCTGTCTGTTTTCCCATCCATTACAACGAAAAAAAAATGTTGAAATATCCTGTTGCAATTCTTAATGTGTTTATTTATTCTCTCATTTCCACAATTTTCTTAACAATTTCTATTAGATTCTATTAGATGTGTACTGATTATTTGCTTTTTTTTTTTTTTCCTGTGATTTAACCATTTTATCTTTAGAAAAAATACCCTCATTATCTCTGGTAATACACTGCTTGTTCTAAAGTCTGCTCTGACCTGTAATCAATTAACCAATAGATCAACCAATTAACCAATTAAACCAAGATTAATCAATTAAAAAATGTTTTCTTTAGATTAATGTTTTTATATGTCTGGTTCTATCCTTTCTGCTTTGACCTAACTTTGTCCTTGTATTTGACATGCACAGTGGGTCTTTATTAGTGCCTACTAATTACACAGCACAATGGGTGTCATTGTGGCCTATTCTTCCTGATGGACAGCGTGCCTTTGGCTCTTGTTTCTCACCTGCTGCAATCTCTCCCTTCCTGAGGTGTCTGGAATGTGGGCAGCCTGCTCCTTCCATCTTGCAGAGACTCTCCTCCACGCCTGCATTTCCTGGTGCAGGACTTCCCGGGAGGGATTCCTGTGTCTTTTGGGTGTAGCTGAGATAGTGGGGTCTTTGCTTTGGTTTGTGAAGCGCTCCTGCTGGTGTGGAACTGGGGCCACACACGGCTCCTGTGGACCCTGGTAGGAAGCGTGCTTGATCCTCTCTCTGAGCAATGTGTCTTCTCGAGCTGTTTGTAAGATGTTCTTTTTGTCACATTTAAAATACTCCGATTCTGATGTGCTTGGTGTGGCTGTCTTTGTTCATTCTGCTCCTATTTCTTTGAGTCCTCCCTTTGTGGGTCACAGTCTCACCAGAGCTGGACAACAGCAGGCCATTGTTTCCTGTCTCCTCCTCTGGCTTCCTCTGACTCCAAGCACAGCCCGAGGCTGGGCTGGTGAGGTTTGCACTCAGCCCTCTGTTAAGGTTTTCCCAGTCTCTCCTTTTACTCTCACTCTGCTTCACTTTCTCATTTGTTTGTGCTAAAACAGATGCTGGCTTACTGATCCTTACCGTCACACACCATTTGTCCAGCTCAGTATATTTTAATTCAGATGTTTATTTTCATCTCTAGAAGCTCCGGGTTAGAGCAGCTGCAGAGGCTCCCTGGAGAGCTCCACGCAGCTGATGGCATCCCTCAGGGGAGACTGGAGGCCGGTGCTAGTAGGAGCCTGTGTGCCTCCAGCCCTGTGTGTGCCTCCAGCCCTGTGTGTGCCTGGACTTCATCTAAAACCTTGGGTGTTTCTGCTTTCCTGTGGCTGACTGAAGCCCCCTTCCTCAACAGCACCTGTGAGGAAGTTCTGCCCTGCAGAAGGGGTCTTGTGCCCATAGTTATGACCTCAGTCTCCACCCGGCTGCACTGCTGGGCAGGGTGAGGCCCCCTCCTGGCACCTGCAGACCCTGCCCAGTAGCAGATCGGCCAGTCATAAGCTCCTCTTGCTTCCTTCTGCCTGCAGTCACGTCCCCCACTGGATGGTGCCTGTCCTCACCTTCTGTCTGGCCCCTTCTTGTGGACTGTTGGAGGGCACTCAGCAATGCTTCCTGGATGGACAGTGGGTGGGGTGTGGGCTGCTCCAGGGGTCTTCATTCCCCTATCCCTGAGAGCCCAGTAGTCTTGCTGTTCCACCACAGTGCTTAGCCTGGGGGACTGGGGTCAGGGAGGACAGACCATCACTCCAGATGCTGGATCCTTAAACAGTGGATGATCCAAAGCTCATGAATGGACGTTGGTCCAGCCAGTGCTGGCCGAGCAGCCCCCATGCTCAGGGCGCTTTACCAACAGTCCTACCACCCGTGTGGGGACCCACAGTGTGGACAGGGGGAGACACCGAGCGACCTTCAGAAGCAGCACTCACGTCAGAGCCCGGGGTGCAGCAGGCGGGAGGAGACAGACACGGGCGGCTAGCGTTTGGAGACAGGTGGGAGCAGTGAGCTCATGCCAGTTCTGAGGCCAACAGCTCAGAGGCCTGGGCAGCAGGAAAGCAAAGGGTATACTAAAGGAGGCTCAGGGTCCCCGTCTCTGAGGAGAAACTTTCTGGAAGGATTTGGATTGGTGCCTGAGGGATGCATTAAGGTTTTAGAGGTGGCTTCAGAGAGATGAAGTCCTGGGAAGAAGGACGGTAAAGCCCAGGAGTATGGAGGATGAGGGAGCAAAGGAATGTTCCAGAAAGAGTCCAGTGTTGCCGAGGTCCAAAACCCACGAAAATCAAACACGGTGCAGAAGCTGATGTATTTAATGGAAGGTGTCATTAGCCTCTCTCAGTTGCCTGCTTGGTATCAACTTCCACAAAACCAGAGTGTTTAAAAACAAAAAATCAAGCTTCTAAATTTTTGAAAAAAAATTTTAATTTGGTTTTAGCTTTATAAACTTGAAGGAGGGATCGCCCCAACATTCTCCTCACGTCTGATCCCTATTTCTTTTTGCGGCAGCATTTCCGACCCCGGAGAGAGCAGCGGCCTATCTGCTCCTCCTTGGGGAGGCAGCCCAGCATGGCGCACCGGCCACCCCGTATTCTGCAATAGTACCTCTGTACTGCGCTGATGATCCCGCTGTGACCTGCAAAGGAAAAATAGAAGGTATAGGCGGCTCTAGGAGGGGTCCTGGGACAAATTCCAGGCTTCAGGAGTTCCTCAGTCACTCGCTGCCTTCCAGGGTTCTATTTCCTTCCCCGCTTGGCTATAAAATTAAGAGTGAAGGGAAGGTGGAGCCCAGCAGGCAGTAATCAATGTCCCCTGGGGGGAAACTGCAGATCTCTGTGGGTGCAGTGTCCTGGGCCGACCCCCTCTGACCACTAAGCTTAGTGAACCAGAAGCCTCTGCTTCTGCTCACAGAACCAGCCCAGGTTTCCTCCGAGGCTGAAATTGAGTAGCACTTTCCCACATCTCCTTACCAGTCCTCCCACCAGGAGGCGGGTGAAGAGGTGCTATTAGCAGAGGGAGCAGGAGCAGGAGCCTGCTGTGAGGCTGGCCCTGACTGGTCAGCTGCCAAAGACAATTCCCCTGGTCCCACCCAGGGAATGTTGGAGAATGGAGAGGCCTGGATGCGCTGACACTGGTCCTCTCAGGCCCTCTTTCCCACCTGACTTACCTGGAACGGGCATCAGGAACAAGAGGAGCAACACGCCCAGCAGGTACAGGATCCGCATGGCTGACCGGCTTCGCAGCAGGCTGAGGCTGGACTGAAAGGTGCACGGGTTCACGTTTATAAAGAGGTAAGCCATGGCTGCAATTCTTGTAATGTCACAGTGATGACAAGATGACGTACTTCCCGATGTGTCATCTCTCTCTCTGCACAGGTCACACCCACTCACCCAGGAGCTGGTACCAGCCTGATAAGCTTGCTATGGACATGGGGACAGCTGCTGTCCTCCAGGCTCAGGGGCCTGGTCATGACTGGCTCGAGCCGGCTGTGGGTACAGGCGGGGCTGGTGTGGGCAGGACCTGTCTTCTCCTGGGAGTGGTGCCAGGGTTCCTGGTTTGGGGTCGACCTATCTGCACTGTGGTACTTTTTAATTTCCTGCATCTTCTTAAAAGACAGAGAGTCTGAGGCCCTCCTGGGAACCAGATCAATCCAGCTCTGGACGTTCTCAGATCTGGGGGGTAGGACTGGCCTCAGGTGGTGAGGAAAGAAGAAATATTCTTTTATTTGTTCTTTCTAGATGATAGGATATATTTTGACATATCATACATACATAGAATATAACTTCCTATTTTTGTGGCTGTCCGTGATATGGAGTTTCACTGGTCGTGTGTTCATATATGAACATAGTAAAGTTATATCCGATTCATTCTGTCTTTTCTATTCCCACCCCTCTCCCTTCCCTTCATTCCTATTTGTCTAATCCAGTGAACTTCTATCCCCCCATACCACTTATTGTGAGTTAGCATCCACATATCAGAGAGAACATTTGGCCTTTGTTTTTTTGGGGATTGGTTTATTTCACTTAGGGTGATAGTTTCCAATTCTATTGATTTACCTGCAAATGCCATAATTTCATTCTTCTATATGGCTGAGTAATGATCCATTTGGGTATATATACCACATTTTCTTTTTCCATTTATCATAGTTTAGCTATTGTGAATTGAACTGCTATAAACATTGATGTGGCTCTATTACTATAGCATGCTGATTTTAAGTCCTTGGGTATATGCCAACGAGTGGGATAAGTGGGCAAAGGGTGGTTCACAAATGGACTGTGCTGAAGAGCCCCTGCCTTCACCCCTTATGGTGCTACAGAGAGTAAAACACATCTCGTACTTCATCATGGTTGTGAAACTACCCAAATTTATAAGGAAGGTGTTTTATCTCACTTCCTCGGGAGGACAATGCTGTGATAATGTTGAATAGCTGCCTCTCTTTCCTGTGGAGGAGAGTCCCTGTGCTATTCTTGGCTCAGGAGCTTTCAAAAACGTCCAGGGATCAGATGATTTTCACTGGGTATGAAGTCAGAGTTTGAGGGGAAAATTTCTTCTTCTTTTTTTTAGCTATTAGACCTAAATGTTGAGGAGTCTAAGCAGTGGGTTGTGTCTGCCAATTGACTATTTAGTTGGGAGCTGAAGCCGTCCTGTTGCCTGGCTGCCATCCCAGTGGACCCACCGTGGCTCTGGGTGTGAGGTCCAGGAGTGTGTTAGGGATACTGGTGCATCCCGCAGATTCAGTGAGCAACCCCGAGCATCTCTTACAGGTGAAGACCAGCATGCGTGTTCAGTGTGGGTGAGAGACCCACATGCTGAGACTCAGGGGCAAGTCCTGGTTTCTCCTCTCCAGGGGCTACAGGTAGCTTCTGCCGACGGGCAGACAGTCAGATAACAAAGGGTGGGGCAGAGGGTCATGGTGAGGGTTTAGGCACAGGGCCGCACAGATGGAGGGAAAAGGAGGCTCGTGCTGAAGAGTGGATTTTAATCAGCAGATGTAAGAGGACTTTGGAGGTGTAGACACTTTATCATTTAAAAACCTAACTTTGCTCTTACGTTCAGGGTTGCAGACAAACAATTGGAGATGCTTTGAAATGGAAGGAGCAGGTGACTGTGGGGTGGGATGGGTGCTGATTTTGTAGTCTTACTATGTTTTACACAGGGTGCGGCTGGGTGTGGCACAAGATCTAACCAGCTCCTGGCTCAGAGTGCAGGGCCAGAGTCATCAGACCGTCACATCACTGCAGGGACCAGACCTCCACAGGCCAACCCATGGTTGAACAAGTTTCTTTGGAGACTGGGCGGGGAGAGGGTGCTTCTAGGGCGACACCACTGCTTCATAAAAGCTTCTTAGGAAATAAAAATGGCCTTTCTTTTCCCTTTGGCTCCTCCGGCAGCTGCTGGAGACCCTTGGGCCTGTTTACCCTGCTCTGTGCTCTGCTGTGGTTCCAGGTCTCCTGATGGCACCTCAGCGAGGACTGCAGCTTTAGAGGGGACTTGCCTTTAAACCCAAGTCCAGAGCCAGTTCACAACAGGAGGAAGCGGGCCAGGAAAGCACAGGCTTTACCTCCCACCTGGTAAACGAGTCGTCTGCTCCCACCAACCCTCTGAGTGTGGACTAATATTTTATGTATCTTATGTGTTCTCTGCCCAGCAAACTTTCTTGGCATTTCTTCATCTTGCAGGCAGAAATGCACGTAGAGGTTCCTTTGGTTTCCTGCAAATACCACTGGATTTGGAACACTCTATTGGATGTTGTGTATTGTGCTCCAACCACTGAGAGAGACAGGGAGAGAGATGGGTGGGGGCAGATAGAAAGGCGAGGGTATGCAAAGAAGGGACAAGAGCAGAGTACAGGGCTGGCTCACGTGAGTCACAGGACCCAGGATGTGGTGGATCTGGTGGGGCAGGCAGAGAAGCCAGTGTTCTCTCCAGGAGGATCAGCAGAGGTGGGGAGCACAGAACCAGTCTGAGGAACAGGGAAAAGCCGAGCTTGGCCCAAGTCTAGTGGGGAGGGTGGCAGACAAGTTAGCATTTGCATCAGCAGATAAGGGAGCATGAATTAAGAAAAAACTAGACTAAGGTTTTAATCATCTAAAATTTTGACTCCATCAAAAATTCCTTACATGAAGACCAAGAAGAAAGCCTGAGAGAGTTGTGCTTGCAATTAAGCTGATGAGCCCGATAGTCACTTCTTCAAAAATCTTTGGTCTTAAAGGTATTTACACTGCCTGCCTGCGAATCATGTCAGTGACTCTGGGGGTGTGGAATAGGCCTCGGTGCCCAGGGATGTTGACGGTCCCAGCCATTCTGTTCTCCTGGGGTTCCCAGGGCAACCTGGCATAGTCACAAGGGAAGAGGCTCAGCCCAGGTGTCGTCAAGATCCGCGGACTCAAGGACCGTTGGGGAGAACCACAGGGCTATCTTCTCAGGGTCTCCCACTGAGAGTCCCTGAGGATTGGGACTGGTCAAACAGCACAGCCATCCCTACCCTACACCACAATTTTTCATCTTCTTTCCTTAAGAGGGAAGACCTAACATAGAGAGATGATGCTCAAGGTCCCTGGACCCACCACTTCTTACTTTGTGTCACCTCCTTGTTCTGCACTGCACTGCTCTGATCCTGTCTGACTCGCTGCCTCCCCAGTGGTGACAGGCTCCCCCAGGACCCCATGCAGGGGTCTGGCAGACACAGAGAGGCTGCTGAGCTTTGGGCAGGGAGGGCACATGGGCAAAGGGATTCCACGTCTGTTTTCTGCACCACCTCTCCGCAGAGAGCTCCCCCTGTGCCTCGTCAGATCACTGCTCCAAACCCCCCAAAGTGCTCTCCTTGACCCTCCTCCAAGGGAACACCATGCTCACCTGATACTACCTGGGAGAAAAGTACAAGAACAAGGAAAATGGAGAGAAAGTTCCCGGTGGAATGGCACCTCTGAGGGCTCCTGGAGAGCAGAGTCAGGACACGTGTCTCCAGGGGGACCCCCGGGAGTGCCTGCTGCACCTGGAGCTGGCGGAGGAGGAGAGACCACTGCAGGCGCCTGTCCACCTGGCTGTGACACAGAGTCCTCATGCTACAGTCAGGCTGGGCTCTTAGAACGTGTCTGTCCCTGTGGACACACTCGGGTTGACTCCGGCAGGGCACAGGACGAGAAGGCTTTCTGAGTGGCTGAGGACAGAGGCCGGCTCAGCAGGCCCCAGGGATGCTGCGCAAACTGACAGCAGAAGAGGGAGTGTGCACTAGAGCTGGCTGCTGCACACAGGGTCCCAGCAGGGAAGGGACGTGGCCCTACCAGGCCACAGGGGCACCCACCTCTGGGCCATCCCCAGTCTCATGGCTCAGTGGTTTGATGGGCTCCCTGCTCTCTCTCCCACCAGGCAATTTAACTTTAAAGGAACAGAGGGGAGCAGGGGCCGGCTCTCCCAATCATGCCTCCGTGTTCTGGTATCTTCCTCATAAGCTTACATGTCCACCTATTGTTGCTCCTGCGTTGCTCAGGGTGGAGCAGGTCTCCTTCCCAGGAGTCAGCTCGCACTTGTGGAACCCACTTTTGCAGTGGGCCCCACAACCCATGTCCCTCTTGTCTCTTCCCCAGGGGCTCCTTCACGTGGCCCATGACGGTTCAGCTGTTTGTTTAAAACTAACCTGTCCTTGACCCATTTCTTCTCCTAAAACCACTGCCTCATTCTTTCCTTTGATTCACCATCAAGTTCCTTGATAGTGGTCTCTACTCTGTGCGGTGGTCTCTTCTGATCACCTGTTTTCCAAACCTGCCCCTTAATGTGTGGCTTCCTGGCATCTGTCTCAATGAACCCATTCAAAGCTCTCCTCCAAATTCAACAGTGACGTTGCACCTCCAATCCAGGGGATCATCTGACTCTGCCTTTTTGCAGCATGAGACTTGTGAGGACACTCATTCTCAAAACCTGTTCCTCTTCAGCTCATCATCTAGGAAACACTGTGGACACTGGCTGTCAGGCGTGTGGACCTGGCACTGACACAGGTAGACAGCTTGTTGTTTCTGAGCTCTGTGCTCCTCACTATTTCCAAGTCTTAAGTTTAAGGAAGATCCGGTAGACACTGACATGGTAGCAGAATAAAGACTTATGCTTTCCACGTTCTCCTGGACTTCTGATGCCTGTCTTTGATTCTTCATGGACTTTTTCATCCTTCTCCTATCTCCAAAGTCCCCCAAATGGGACAGCTTCAAGAATTTGACATTATTGGCCAGGTGCAGTGGCACACATCTGTAATCCCAGTGGCTTCAGAGGCTGAGGCAGGAAAAGCACAAGTTCAAAGTTAGCTTCTGCAACTTAGTGAGACCCTGTCTCAAAATAAGAAATAAAAACAAGGGCTGGGGATGTGGCTCAGTGATTAAGTGCCCTGGGTTCAATCCCTAGTGAGAGACAGAGAGA